CCCCCCCCCCCAATAACAATTTGGTTCTAACAGCACTGATGACCTTGGTGAGTTAGTATTACAAAAGTCACCGAACTGTGGAATCGCATCAAAAATTCGTATATCGACCACTCCCACAAACGTCTACGACCACGCCTACATTCGACTACATAGTTTTGCATGTTTACAATTCTAATTTTGAACAGCCAATCAGGTTCTTGGTAATTGGCTGTTTAAAATTAGAATTGTAAACGTGCAAAACTATGTAGGCGCGGTCGTAGACGTTTGTGGGAGTGGTCGATATACGAATTTTTTATGCGATTCCACAGTTCGGTGACTTTCGTAATATGCACAGTCACACATGAGAATATGAGTTTCACTATCATCAGATGGTGCAACAACAGGCAGTTCTCAGCATTAGAAAATAATGTTTATTTTCATTATATGTAAAGTCTTAGTAGTAGTGAAAAATAAATAATAGTGGCTTTTATTATAAATTTTATGCAGGATGAAATATGTAAAATTATAATTGTGAAATTATTTGTCAAATTACTTGTATCAATTGAAGAAAAATGAAAGTCTTTCAAATGCTACAGTAACAGTTTTATATAAATATACAATTAAATAATTATACTAGTTTTGTACGATACTGTATTTTAGATTTTGTAATTTGAAAACTTTTGTATTAATTTAAATATAAAGTATTAATAAAATTTTTATATTGACTAGTTAATTAATAAGAGGTCAGTTCAATTAAAGGTTATTTTCGTGGCTATTTCATTTTCTGTGAATTATGATTTCAGTTGTTGACATAGTGGAGTGGTTCTTGCAGGGTGCGATAATTCAATATTATTAGTCGTACCTGACTGGTACACCAATGGTTGTTGCTGCAAACTTGAGCCGGTACAAACTCAGTACTCAATGTGTATTTAGTCAGTAAAATAAGATTCACAAAGTCAGGGCCTATTAGAGAAATTCAGGGGCCCGGGGCAAATTTTTATTTTGGGGGCCCTATTTTCCCCCAAAAATGTTGGCGAGCAGGGGGGAAGGGGGAGTTAGATTTTTTTACGGACATTAAAAAATCAAAAAAAATTTCCGGACTAACATCAGTTAAGTTAAGGTTCAAAAAATGTTTTTTCGTACCCTTTTTTGGACCAATATCTGCAAAATTTAGGTTTGGAAAATTTTCAGCTCACACCGTTATTTATATCAAAAAAACGTTCCAAATTATTTTTTTTATTTTCCAAATTTGGGGGCCCCTTTACACTGGGGCCCCAGGGCAAATTGCCCCCTCTACCCCCCCCCTCAGATGGGCTCTGCATAAAGAAAGTACAGGTTTCTGAAAAGTACGTTCAGACTAGAAAAAGAAGCACAATTGCATATAAAACAAATAATCGAATCCAACGTTTCTTAGTGCCACGCAGATAGCAAGAGTTCCGCAGTTGGCTGAAAACAAAGAGGCCAGACCGTAATATTGGCGTACCCATAGAGATTATAAATAACACTAGAGGAGGCATCGAGTTTAAAAATTGGGAACGCAGCTAATGGGGGGCAAATTCAAGTCCCGGATATAAAATCGTGCTCTCATTGGCTGATTTGAAACTCGTCACCAATGGGAACACGAATACACATCCGGGACTTGAATTTGCCCCCCAATAGTCGCGTTCCCTTTTTTTTACTGAATTAAGATTACAATGCCTCCTCTAGTGTTATTTATAATCTCTATGGGCGTACCTCCGGTACGTAAGTACGCGAATTATCGCACCCTGAGTTCTTGTGTCTTAGGACTTCCTGTGGAAATGTAATTTCCGTCGTCAATCGTGAAATTTTTCGTGAAACGTGATCAATACCAGTGGTAAAACAATTTTGTATTTATTTGGCTGAAATACCTTGAATATGTGCGTAAACCGTGGAACGAATTAATAATTTCATTGATATTTTAGGGATTCGAGCACGGGCAATAGGACAGGTGTAGTGTTGTTAAATATAAAGTTAGAAATGGTATTATACTTACTCATGCATTATAATTTGTTTAAAAGATCAGAATATTCATACCTTCTTATTTTGTTTCATAAATAGTTCTTTAATATTCGAAACAAATTCCATATCTGCTTCGTCTGCCATCGCCATGTTTACTCGTCCCAATCTACATGCTGCACGGCATTGCTGCCCCTCCTGGCAAAATAATAAGCAAGCGAGAAAAATTAAGGAGAAATTATTTTGCCAGGAGGGGCGGCAATGCCGTGCAGCATGTAGATTGGGACGAGTAAACATGGCGATGGCAGACGAAGCAGATATGGAATTTGTTTCGAATATTAAAGAACTATTTATGAAACAAAATAAGGAGGTATGAATATTCTGATCTTTTAAACAAATTATAATGCATGAGTAAGTATAATACCATTTCTAACTTTATATTTAACAACACTACACCTGTCCTATTGCCCGTGATTCGAGTATTCGACTCGACTGCAATTTTATATTTTGAATTTTTGGCGGAAAAAAGCGCGAAATGATCACGTGATACTACGCAATCTTCCGGCATGCACTCAGGGCATCGAATTTTCATGTAACACAGATCACAAAATATGCATTATGCGTGTAGAAAATACTATTTTTTAAAGAAAGAACAATATTTTAAAACTTTTCCTCGATGAAGGTAAGTATTTAGTATACTATAAACACATTTCATCCATTAAAAGTCGATATATTGGTATATTTGTTTGTAAAATATGACCAAATTTATCGGGAACAGGCAAGCGAGTCTGATTGTGATCTGATACCTTCGGCATATTGTGATTTATAAATCACTTTTTTTCAACAGTAAAATGTATATTTAAAGTGTGTAATGTAGAAAGAAATGGTTTTCTTCTTTGATGTGAACTAGTTTCAGGAGAAAAGTCCGAGAATGTTGTAATTGTTGAAAAATATGTTTTATGTATGATCGTCTATTTTTTAATTTACATGGCATCTGTGAAATGTGAATCATATTTCACCTAAATCCGCGCCTAATGGATGAAATCAATAATCGATGAAAATCGATGTCAATTGATATCAATTATTAAATTGATCAATATTGGAAATTGATGACAAAGCAATAACTGGTATCATTGTGATCTTTCATCAATTGATTATTGATTTGTATAATTTTCATCAATTGAAAAAAAAAATATGCAAGCAATTAAAACAGTGACGCTTAAATTTTGTTTACACACAATTTTTAACCCACTGAGTTGCATTGTGCCCTAATACACCCTACTTGATTATTTTACTCTGTCTAATGCCATTCGATTTTACTTGTCAAAAGGGACTGAAGCGTTGGCATTCAATGGGTTAATTCAGCTGGGTGTATTTAACCCATTGAGTTGCATTGCACCCTGATGCACCCTACTTTAGTATTTTACTCTGTCTAATGCCAGACGATTTTACTCGTCAAGGGGAGAGCGCTGGCGCTTAATGGGTTAACTGGCCTATCTGCCCATGTGTCTAGTTAACCCATTGAGTTGCATTGCACCCTGATGCACCCTACTTTAGTATTTTACTCTGTCTAATGCCAGACGATTTTACTCATCAAGGGGAGAGCGCTGGTGCTTAATGGGTTAATAATTTGAGTTTATCTGTATTTTGGTGCTGTTTATAGAATTCTTAACATTGTGTTTCTGAAAACAATGGCAGATGTTGCACATTTTACCGCTGATGATGTACAGAAGTTATTTGAAGATAAACATGTTGTTGTTATTGGTGATTCAGGTGTGTGGATTATTGAAAATTGACGGATTGTCCTTCACAGTACTGGAAAATGTCTGGCTGCACTGCTGCCAGGAATTTTTTAACAAAATATATTTGCAGGAAATTTTTTCCCATCTTTCAGGAAATTTTTGTCAATTTTAATATATATTGGAATGCCATATAATTTTCTTATTGTTTACAAAAGCGTTTTGCAAGTCTAGACGGTCTTGTGCTGTGGTCGAAGTTTTAATGTCACACAGCTGAGTGCCCCCTATACCTCTTGACAATATGCTTTCACGTAAAACTATTTTGCCTTTTCACGAGTCATGAAAAATTTAAAAAATTCCTTCACGTTCACGGAAAAATCGAAGCGATCACGATTCACAAATTGTTATAGGATGTCTTCCTTAATTGTAGAATCATTGTACTCATCTGTACTTACCTTGACATGCTTTCAAACTTCCAACTATGTCGAAAACAGGCTCCTGTACATCAAGTACTTCAAAAAACAGCAACAAACCGTATTTATTCCTTGGAAAGACGATCACACAAAAGGTCGCAAAACAGATGATTCACGAATCACGCATATTTCTGTCTGCCATTCACGGGTCACGGTTAAATCGAATCTTTCACGTACACGTAAAAAGATTGGAAGTCTTACCATCACGAATCACAGATTAAGATAATCATCGATTACGTTTCACGGCTAAGTAAAATAAGACCATCACGCTTCACGCAAAAAGTATAGGGGGCCCTCACAGCTGTGCGACACAATATTTGTTCGAGATCTGAAATCTACATATGCAGGACGTTTTATATTTAACTTACACAGGAGATGCATTTTAGTCAGATGAACTAGCCAGAACAGTTGCAGGGTTCGAATTAGCAATTTGCACATCATGTTGTCAAAAATTGGGGAAATTGCACATCACTTTTCCAAACAATGTGCAAAAAATCTGGTTGTGACTAATGCTTATTATATCTTCCTTTTTTTATATATCCAGGCTTTTGTAAAAAGGATAATTTCAGTTCAATTGTTTCTAATATATTCTAGAGATTTTATAATATATGCAAAAATTATTTGTTCAAAGTGCACTTCTTGAAAGGACATATTATGACAGGCATGCTGTCTAAAACATGTGATTCAGAGGCAAATCTTGTCTCAAAAATTGCATTTAATTTAGCCTGCCTAATGTTTTCCAGTTCGTCTAATGCAAATCATATGTGAAGATGTACAATTTATGCACACGTTTGGAGGATGTCAACACAAGCATGACAGCTATCAACACAATGAAGTTCCTCATACATCACAGAAGAAATGACTTACACTCAGTGTTTAACGCTGAGTCAGTTAGCTCCAACATTTCTTACAAATCCTTCAAAACTTATATTCTACTGTGATCACAGAAACTTTGATAGTATAAAACAGCCTTAATGCAACATTATAATGACACTCCAAGCCGTGACAGGAAGTTCTTGTAACAGAGTCGTTCTGCTGTATTCAGTATGGATTATGACAACTTCGCTTGTGCCTGATTCATGTCATGTAATCAACTGTGCAGTTAATCTGACACTAACAATGCTTTTCAATATTCACATTAACATTTGTGCCGATCAACTTCTGGTAAAGTCACACTCCCAACAATCATACAACCAAAAGTTCTTTGTTCCAAGGATAGTGTTTTCCAGTCCTTAAAATATCTTTTACAGGGCCATCTGACAAAATGTCCGATGACATTGAGTTTGGGTTGGACATATGTTCAGTTTTGACTCGAAATAAGTCTGAATGCCGACACAAATGAATATCAGCAGAATGTATTAATTCTGAACGGTAAATGTTGTGAACATATTAAATAATTTGTTTCTTTCATACTTATTTCCAAGCCAAAATTAACTTGCTTTCCACAACAGCAGTAAAAGACTTAGACACCTTAAGCCCATTTTCCACTTCACCATGCATTTCGCTCCCCGCCCTGCACTCGACTATGTTAAATTAAAACAAATTTCCAGTTTACCTTTTATACAATAGTACTCTGATTTTCCATTTAACATACAAGCTGCTAGTCCTGGGATAGGGTACATTTTGATTTACGTTGGACAAAGCTACAGTTCGTGTCGGTTTTCCTCTCTATGTCGGACAATTTCACAAATGGGTCGGACAATGTCCGTGACCGACCGATATTTTAAGGCCTGGTGTTTTCTAATTTTCTGCATGTTTGATACCCTAAACTTGCGATGTGATTTTGTTGCTTGTCTAAGTGAATACCAATCAAATAATATACTTTTAATGTAGATGAAAACTGCGTAGGTTATTTGATCGGTCAAAATGTCCATACAGAACAAAATAAATTAATGGGCCATATATATAGTGTTTTTGTTTGGCAAATAGCTGAAAGCCAACCATTATAATCCACACTAGCTCTATTAAATTCACATGTTAGTAAATGCAGGTAAAGATTTCCATATGATCGTGCATTTCGAAGACTCCCCAATTTATCTGAGTAGATTATTCATAAACTCCCCAATTTATCTGAGTAGATTATGCAAATGTTCATTTTGACAAATGTCACCCTCAGTAATCTTTCTGGGCCTTCCTCCTAAATCTTAGCCTGCGTAGCAGGTGGTATTCGCGGGCACGAGGGAATGGGCAGCCTGAAATACTGCCTGTCCAAAAACTACACATTGTGAGTTCCGCTCACCAAACGCATGGTTCCGCCCATCTTAATATGTTTGTCAAACTCTTTCTCGACGCAACCTAATATTAATCATATCTTCGGTTTATTGAATGCTATGAAGACAAAAATACTACCTTTTGATTCAATGTAACAATATCTCATTCATAGCGATAGTTTTAGTCGATGTCATCATCATAGCGATTTATGAGCTTTGAAAGTCAAGCGAGTTCGTATATTATCAAATTACGCATTTGTCTGAACAAAAATATAGACTAGCCATACCTTTCGCCGAACATAACTTCGGCCCCTTTGGACGCATCTTCTTTGTAATAATCTTGTTCGAATTGCTATCAAAAACTCTATTTAGAGTGTTATTTGCGAGCCTGTATCTTCAAATTTGTATCTTTTATCACGGTGTTTCCATTCCTATCATGGTATTTCTCAACCTCGTCCCCAGGGTAGATTGGGTATTTCTATCACATCTCTATCAAGCAACAAATGTTGGATTGATATTCTTTGTTCATCCTTAAAGACGATGGGATGACCGATTCCAGATAAAGTATGCTTTCTCAATTAATACATTCGTTAATTTTTTCGTTTTAATAGTGTATGCCATCACTCGATAGCTACTCCTGTCAATCAAAAATTCAAAATCAACATTCTGACCAATCAAAATGCTCCGTCACCCAGCTGCCGGAGAACTCAGAATGTGTAGTTTTTGGGCAGGCGGTATTTCAAGCTGCCCGTTCTATCGTGCCCGCGAATACCGCCTGCTACGCAGGCTAGCTAAATCTCTCCAACTTTACTTTGGTAAAATCATCGTCAGAACAAGCGCATTTCACCTCGGAGATTGTGAGTTTGATTCTTGCCAGGGATTCGTGTTTTCTCCAGGTTTCTCCCGTGCAGGGAAGGTTGACAGGACCCCATGGGTTAGGATAAACATAGTTAGGAAAGTATATCAGGATCATTGCAAAGATGAATATGTAGTCTAGGCTATAAGCATGGTTTCGAGTGCAATTTGGATAAAACATGCACGCGCATAGACGGATTTTGTGGGGGGGTGCAGGGGGGTGCTACCCCCCAATATTAGCTATAACCCCCCCAAACAAAATGTCCACCCCTCCAAAAAAATTTTCAACCCCCCCAATATTCGGCATAATAAAAAATAATTAAATAATCCACTCCAACGTGCAGAGTGTTGATGATACAAAATAAACGTAGGAGTACACTCAAATAGAAAAAGACAGTGCAATACTCTGAAACTAATCGCTCCTCGCTTGCATTCACTGGTTTATTGGAGCAATTGTAAAGTTTTGAAACTCTATTATCTCCCCCTGAATAGAGTTTGCAGTGCTTTGTCATGCAAATAGCTTGCTTGCAAGGAACGTTTGGAATTTTTACGAACATTATTTTTAGTTTTTAATTCTTTTAGGAAATAGACTTGCCTAGATTTAATCTTTACGCCCCAAATATTATTTGCATCGGAGTTGCATCATAAATTGTACTCGGATTCAAACGACACAATGTCAATGACTTTATAAAAGTAAAAGCATATTGTGTATTGGCCTATTGGGTTTACACTTTTACAGGTTCATTTAACTTTAACTCTCTCAAGTCTCAACAGACAATCAGGCATGCCAAATCCATTGATATGACAACTTCAAAAAACTTTTTTTCGAAGCTAGAAATAATTTTTTTCAAATTTTTCCTGGGATACTTTGTTTTCTGCTCTCTAGATTCTCCCTCGCGGCTCTAGTGCTCCACCCTAGAATATATACCTTACTGGGGTTTGGTGACACTGGTGTTGCTTCAGTCACCTGCTCACGGCTCACCCCCCTAAAATTTCCGACACCACCCCAGTAAAAAATACGAAAATCCGTCTATGTGCAGGAGTAAGTTTTTCAAAGAGCATCAAAATAGCACAAGTCCGAAGGGCAAGTGCTATTTGAGGTCTTTGAAAAACTCACAAGTGTTTGTTTTATCCAAATTTCACAAGAACCCATCCTGTTCGAGACAATTGTAGTTTTAATTTGTAACGTCTTCAAAATTTCTCTCAAATATGTAAGTTTTGCTAGTCTTATTTAGGGTAAAGTCTTCTCCATTTTAACCCATTGAGTGGCAGCACTCTCCCCTTGACGAGTAAAATCGTCTGGCGTTAGACAGAGTAAAATATTAAAGTAGGGCGAATCGGGGTGCATTGCCAACTTAAATGGTTAAAAAAAGATAAATGCCATATTTTCCACCCAAACTCAACTTTTACTTATCATTAGCGCGGAGTGAGCTGTAATAAGCTAAGTTGTCATATCTCATCCAGTTTCTCCACTCATTGGGAATTCCATATTATACATGATGTTGTACAGATGCTATTAGGTAATAGGAACTGATTTATTGTATACAATCCAATATGAATTATCGTTTATTGCTAATAGTTCAAAGATCGGTGTACAAAGATTTGGTGTGTCTTTTACGAGAGGATCGATTATTAACACTTGAAGAGTTAAAAGAAAAGGTTAGTGAAAATGTTTTATTGAAGTGCTTCTCATGGATGTTAGTTTTGTCACTTCGGATCAATGAGAGAATGTTGGTTTCAGTGGGCATTGCAAAGCAGAAAAATGTTGGTCGACGGATGTTGACACTTAAGCCCTGATCAAACAAGAATGAGAGTTGAGAAGCGAGAGTATGCATGAGAGTTTTCTCAACTTTTATGCCCCTGTCAAACGAGAATAAGAGTTGCATGAGAGTTGACTGGATATTACCGTGCAGGTAGGCAAACTCTATCCAAATTTGATCAGGGCACAAGAGTTCAACAAACAAACAAATTTGCCAACACTAATCAACTTTCATCCAGGGGCCAGTTGTTCAAAGCACAATTAGCGCTAACCATGGGTTAAAATTTAACCCATTGCTTTGGTCTTTATTTCAAAACTTTAGAAAATTAAACTTCTGGGGCCGGTTGTTTATAGCTAGATTAGTGCTAACCCTCGGTTCAAATTTAACCTGCTAGAAAATTAAACTTCTGGGGCCAGTTGTTCAAAGCTGGGTTAGCTTAACCCTGGGTTAACCTAAAATTCAAAGCAAACTTCCTGACAGCTTGTTTATAAATTTGGAAATATTTCTTCAGAAATCTTCTCGGGATCGACAGGAGTTCTCTTTTCTGAAGTTTTGAAATAAACAGACGTGCACAAATACATGAACTGAAACAGCAGGTTAAATTTTAACCCAGGGTTAGCGCTAACACACCTTTGAACAACCGGCCCCAGATTGAACAATGTGTGCGGCCCACATTGTTCACACTTGTCAACAATATCGAACAATATTGTTGTGCCTGGATCGGGTGTAACAATATTGTTCAATATTGTTGACAACTACATGTGAACAGTGTGGGCCGCACAACATTGTTAATCCTGTTTTCATCAATATTGCAACAACCTGATCGTTTTTAGCTGTGTAGTACTTAATGAAACCATTGATAATAAAAACACATCTTTCTTAAGAACACATCTTAATGTAACTATGCCTTGATCCAGATGATCTTGATACGCGGAAAAGTACTGGCACTAGTTGTCAAATAGAAATCCATTTTATGATTAAAACAACTGAATATCTCCTGTAATATACTTTATTTCGATTCCATATTTTTGTCAGAGCTATAGTTCTCATAAGCAAACATAATTACAAAATTTCAACTAGTTTCATAAAGAATAACGAAAGATATAATTGACTGAATACATCAAAATGGATTTCTATCCGGACAACCCTTTCTGAGCGCTGATTGGCTAAAATACGAACACGAGATCACCTGGATAATAAAAACACATTATTTAGAATTATTTTCTCATTATTTTCTCACTCTGATATTTTCTCATCCGCTGCACAATAGTACTTCATGAAACACATCTATAATGCACTTCTGCGCTGTGTTCGTCCTGATTTAGGGTGAAGAGAGTTTTCAAGAAGATGTGTTGCTGGAAGGTGGTGTTAAAACTGGCCTGCATAATGGTACAAACTACAGAGAAGTCCGTAAATACCGACAAGCTAATACAACAATCATGTTCTATTTTGTAACACGATGTTACGGGGAATATATGCAGTCTATATTAGACGGTTTCAAGCTGGAGCCCCCGCATGTCATTATAATGAACTCTTGTCTTTGGGATCTTCATCGCTACGGCAAAACTGCGAACGCAGAGTATATCACAAATATTTCGGAGCTTTTGTATGCAATTGAATACGGCGTACCAGAAGAAGATACGTTGTTTATATGGAACGCTACGTTGCCCGTACGAGAAACAGTGAAAGCAGGCTTCCTTCCCCCAGGCGTTGATCATACTTTACCGGCTGAAGATATCCGCAAGGCTAATCTCTATGTACGGGATCAACTCAACGGCTATGCAGAGCGCTTTATCTTCCTTGATCTACATCAGACTTTTTACAAGCACCTAGATCTAAGAGTGAAGGACGGTGTTCATTGGAACGATTTTGCACACAGGAAAATCACATGTCTTATACTTAGTGAGATTTCCAAACAATGGAATTTTGAAATACCACCAAAATCACCATTGTCGCCAGTACATGACGAGGCACCTCCTGTGAGCTTTGATCGTTCCATGAATGCTGTCCCACGATCAGCAACAGGTGCTTACCCACGATCTTTCCATGATATGCCACCACGTCCAAGAAATGATCTCATAGGAAATGGTCATGCAATGAATGGTCCTCCGAGGAATAACTCCGTGCGGATGAATGGTTTTCCAGGTAATTTTCCTAGGGGTCCTTTTGGGCCACGTGCGAATAGACCCCCTGGGCCACGAGTTAATGTTCCTCCTGGGCCAAGGATTAAAAGTCCTCGGGCTATCGGGTTTTCTGGACCAAGGGTTCCTGGCTATCGGGCTCCCTCCCCCAAGGGTAACAGCCCTCCTCGCCCCATGATTAACGGACTCTCTGGGCTACGGGTTCCAGGCCCAAGGGTTAACGGTCCATCGGGCCCTCGACTAATTAGTCCACTGGCACCGGGTTCACGGCTTAAATTTTCGCTAAGACCCCGAATGAATGGTCCACGACATATTGGGCCCATGAGTAACGGTGTTATTAGAAATGGCCTCCTAGGAAAAGCGCCTATAAGAAACCATCGTGTGATTATTGGTCCAGCAGGTGTCAGAAATCGGCGAGGAAGATCTCGTAGTGCGACTGTGAACCTAATTGGTCCCAGGCCTCCTCCACCACGCGGTTGGCTGAATGGTCCCCCACGTTTTCTTAATAACAATGAGTACCTACCCGCAAGATATTCATTAAACGAAACCTTCCCTCCTGCGTTCCCCGGAAAAAGGAAATTTATGGAAGAAGACGATTTTGACAAACCTTATAAGTTTCCACGCAAATTTATGTAAACATTATTAAGTATTTATAACGTGAAGAGTTCTGTTTAAGTTTTGTTGGTGTAGAGATTAAAGAGTGAATTTATAGACCGATTCGAAAAGTGTTTGCCGTTCTTTTTTTCTCCCGAAATGAATTTCAACCGAGGTAATCAGTGCCGCCTTATAGAATACTTCAAAAACTATCAGTTTTACAAAATTTAAATATATTACCATGTATTCTCTTTGAGAAATTAAATTGAAGCGAACGGTGTGTCTGCTAGATTCAGCAAACAGGCATGACTAGCCTCGTTTTGGTGCTTTTTGCACATCACAAAGGGCTATAATTTCGCTTGCATGGATTGTTTTCAATCTTGAAACTCTTACACTTTGCCTTGAAGTCTCTGTCTCTGGTAATGCATAAAATGAGTAAAATGATGCAAAATTGTAGCGGCTGGTTTTCGATTCGGTCAATATAAATATTCTTGGGTAAAACAAGCATAGTTACATCGTTTCTCGTTGTGTTAAAACCTGATTTCCACCTCAATCGTATCGGAACGTGCTATGTCGTCATTAGGGACTTTATTAACATTGACGTTTACGGCTAAACGCAAATGGCAAACTTGAAATCGCATTTGAAAGTAAGGCCTACAGTTTCGACAGCTAACAGTAGCTAATTCATGCTCCAATTTTAGTGTCAAAGTTGCCCTAACTTCGGGGGCGGACCATTAGAAAAGTGATGTGTGTGGGGGGGTTATCCATTTTCAACGTGCACGAATTTTTTTTCAAAATTTTTTGCTGTGCTTATTTTTTTTTTAAATAATCCCTTGCTCGAATTTTATTTTATTTCCAAAAATTGCGGGCGGGGGGGGGGCTGTTTTCCTTGCTCGATTTTTATTTTTGCTTTTGCCCCCCTCCCCCCATCACTTTTCTAATGGTCCGCCTCTAACTGTTGTCTTCAAATTACTATTTGACGTTGGCGGTTTGCCGTAAACGTCAATCTTAAACTCCCTATTAGTTCTATTATCTGACTCCTCAACATGCGTGGAAACAAACAAGTACGCTACGGTACATTATGCCTGTTCACACTGGTCATTGGTGTGTATATAAAAATGCTTTGAATTACGACCAGTGTGAACCAGGCTTAAGGTTGAAGTGGAAACGATTTTAACCCTTTATCTACCAATGAAACTCCAAAGTATTTTCTCCAACTTACGCCAGACGATTTTGCTGCATATAAGGCATGCTCTTGGTAAATAAAGGGTACCACATAAGCTTTGACAAAAAACACAGAATACGAGAAACGTAATAAAGAGTTGTAAGTATGATAAAGTTTATTTTTATAAAAAAAACTGATTCTCCAAAGATTTATCTCGAGCATGAATTTATCTACATTCGGTACGATTTACAAATCTCGTCTGGAGGCTTTGTGCGATTCTTTCATTTTACAACGTGACATTCGGGCTCTTTAAGGGGGGGCGGAGTTGGAGTCTGGGCATTAGAAAGCCGGTAGCTTATCCTAGGGTTTAACGCAAATTTTCACAGCAAACTTCCCAACCGCTTGTTCAGGGGCGTAACTCCTGGGGGAGGGGGTGCGACACCCCGCAAATGTTGTAATATTGCAGTTTTGTCGGGCAATTTTAACGACACGCTCGTCGGGCAAAAAAATGTAATTCAGCAAAAAATTGAGAAAATTTTACTGAAAAATCCAATTTATATGATTCCAGTGTTGTTCCAATTTGCTGTTAACGTGCGTGTCCCTCATATTTTTCGCAAAGGCCTATGAAAAAAAATTTGACCGAGAAGGAGGGCGAAGTTTATAAAATAACTGTAAAGCAATAACAATATATAAAAAGTAAAATTACTTGAAAGAACGTTAACTTGATTTAAAGATGCGGTACAGTCCGTATGTAAACAAAGGCTTTGTTTACATTTCGGTATCCAAAATATTGAATTTTATTCGACAACTATTTATATTTTCATGATTCTAGAGTATAATAAATTATCAAGAGACAACAATCAAGCTTTGCAAGAACATAAAATGAAATAAAAACCTAAATAAACTGTTTGTAAATAAAAAGAGGGCTCCTTTGTGCACATGCGCAGATCAGACTGTGCCGCATCTTTAAACGAAAATGCAGTCATTGAGCTTCAAAAATATCAAAATCCTCTGGGACCGCAGACCTCCCTATTTCTTTACAAATCAGAAACGTGATTATGGCAGCGTTAAACTCCAGATGTTTCGTAAACGTCCTTTAATATATATAATTCAAAAGTGCCCCCTTTGCCCTCTCGTCGTTCTGGCGTCCCTGACTGCAGAAATCCGTGGCTACAAAGTTCAAAGTGTCTATTCACCCGGCAGTTCGTATAAAGTGTGCCGAAAACAGGCGAACAATGGATTAACCATAACCCATTGCGTTACTAATATGGCGTCGTTATTAACGAAAAGGTCTACTTTGCTCAAAGTCTTCAAAAAGTAAATTGCAATCTCGTACCCAGAGCAATGCCTGTGCGCGGGCTAGGATGGCATTGGCTCTGGGGAAATTGAATTTTTCCTGTGCTGTGATTGGTTTAACGTCTATCAATCATGCATGCCGACAAAGAACCGGAACCCCAGAATTTAGGGGTTCCGGTTTCAATTTCCCCAGAGCCAATGCCATCCTAGCCCGCGCACAGGCATTGCTCTGGGTACGAGATCACAGAATAAGGTACACAGAAGGCCGACTTCTTCGTTTTTCCTATGATTTTCCTATGATTTTGGCGTAACTCGTGATTCGTCATCAAATGCTGACGCCATGGTCCTAGCCAGTGCGCGTCTGAGAGGCATTCACCCCCCTGATATCATTCAAAATGGCGGATGTCCAGGGGGGGAATGCCTCTCAAACCCGCACTGGCTAGGACCATGGCGTCAGCATTTTGATGATGAATCATGGCGTGGTAGCGTTACTCGAGTCGACCTTCTGTGTACCTTATTCTGTGACGAGATTGAGTAAATTGTGGAAACTTTGGAAGAAAATCTTGTTGTTTAAACTGGAAACACTATCTCTCGTACTTAGTTTTCTTTTGTTGTCGCTCGGTTTGCAAACAAAATTTTCAAAAACGAATCGGTTCAGTGGCCAGTGCGTAAACTTTCGTCAACATTTTTGCAAGTTTGTGTCAAGTAGATGGACGTAATTTTACAGATCGCGTTTGCATTTCACAACTGATGTGAGCAAGACATGTAAAGCTTTCGTTTTGGCATGAGTAGAAACGATGAAAGGGCATCGAAAGAAATGTATGAGCAACGAACCGCCATGCTACATTTCCCGATAAGACAAGAACTCGTTGGTAAGCGTTTTATTGTGATCACTGAAGAGGCGACTCGTCGCGGTGCCAAGAATCAGGGCTTGGAAAACTATAGTTGGAAACAAGGTTATATTCGTGCTTGTTCAGTCAAAGACATACTTGACAAGGAATTACAGGTATTTTGAATTGTCACATATAACTGTCTCGGAATGAAAACTGCTGAACTGCATGGATCAATTTGGGAATTTATCGATTTAATGACATTTACATTTGTTATTTATACAACGGCAACGGAATTTTTAGTTTCGTATTTTACTTTGTATATTGCGTTTAGAAGTAATAGATTCTTTTCATGACAAATAAGAGCAGATATATAGCAGTTGATTACAGCCTTTACAGTACACCGAGTTATTTATTAACATTTGAAGTATGCATGACTGTCTGCACACACACAAACCGTGTCAAATTACAACTTGTGCAAGCTAGTTACATTGCTATTGAAGTACATTTGAAAAATTGTTTGCAAAAGGTGGAACTTAAATTGTGATTATAAATTAGATTATTGTTAACTCACAATCAAGTTGAACTTTTTTGAAGTGATAGTTCCACAAATCACAAGTCATTTATGTCATCTATTGCAGCTGTGTTAGTTGTAATTTGCAAGTTAGCTGGACATGCCAGTGATAAGATCCTACTGCACATGTTGTTTTTATACATTTTCTTGACTGTATTCACATGGAAAGGGTCAGGCCAGACTTGCTAAGAGGTACATTGAGAGAGAGGCGAGATCCTGGGCTTACATGAGAGGCCCCATTAAGCTAAATTCTCACAGATGACATTGCATTGAAATGGTGACATACGAAAAATAAAAAAGATATATGATTGAAAAGTCAAGCAAGATTTTACGGAAATTTTACACTTTACTGTACTGGAGTAATCACTGAATACATACGCCATCAAAACATGCCAATAAAAGAACGGAAAAACCATCAGAACACACGGTACGGTAAAGTGTAAAGTACCCGATTTTACATATATACGAAGAACGTAACCCCCGGGGATAAAATTCTAGGGAGCCCCTTAATGAACAAAAATATATCATATTTACAATAAATGTATCTGTTCAAATTACTGTATCACAAACGAATGATCAACTAAGACCAATTATAATTACCAATTATAGTTACAGGTAAAGTATGTGAAGCATTCCTCTTTTTACTTCGTAACTCATTTGGAATTTTCCTCATTAGCTTTGCAAATTTGAAAAACTCTGCAAATCCCTTGAGGAAAATTTGGCAATAGGGAAGCACATTCTCGACATCTACTAACATGCCTGATAATTTCTCTAACTTCATAACAAAAAATTTTCATTCTAAATTTTTCTGTCAAGGTACTTGTTGAGTTTGATGGAGCTAGCTGGGAGTACAGGCAATGGATAAAAATATACGAGCAGACAAAAGCATTTTTTGTTGAAAGCACCGTTGTCTGGGCTACTAGAATTTACCGCGGTAGTAACACTCATCGAAGTACCATATCATGGCCTGCTCTGGTAGGTTTACTCTGGTTTTGTTACTAATTTTGTGTGTCTTCTCATGCAACTTTTCATGCAACTTAAAAAGTTCTTCTGTTCAACCTCAAATTGTGTGGTATTACTATTAAACAAGCAATAAGCAGACATTCAGTTGGTAAACACTATCATGATACCAATTGCATAATTTTCTACACACGACCTTGAGCCCACCTGAAATTTAACTTGGTTCAGATGTCGAACTTAATAATTATTGAAAAAGATAAATGGTATTTATGATCAACAGTTGTCATACACATAAATATGGTTGGTTCATATGCAGTTCGACATTTGAATCCAATTTGAACCAAAGTTGAAATTCTTGACAAGCAATGTTGAACTTTATTGCTGGATCGGTCCAAAAATTAAAGCAATCGAAACTAACTGATTCAGACATTGATCTTCATGTGAACCTAACTGTTGAAATTGGGATCGGCTCTGACGGTTTATGTGAAGTTCGACGTTTGAACCAGGCCCTGTAAGTAGAGTTAGCTTGGTTCTCTTCTGTCCTTCGAAGTTTTTTTGCTTCCCTTGTTAAGACTAACACTTAGCTTTAGTCGTAAAATAACTATTAACTAAGCCTCGGAGATCTTTGTCTATTGGTTGTTATTTCATTACTATAATTCCTGTTTCTGTATTTTAGATCTTTGTTCCCATAGTTGATTACATGGGTTTTGATAAAGATTCTAAACATCCAGTCGAGTATTTTGGTGACAAACAGTTGTAAGTAATATGTTCATTTAATTATTTTGATCATTCAGTAGGTGAAAGTGTTTGACAGCTCAATAGATTATTCCCCACTGGATTGTAGATTGATTTCTTGAAACATTTTTTCTGTGTTTCTAGGGCTTTTTTAAAAGAAAACGAAGTTGGATTATTTAAGGTACTAAACTGCCACATGACAGACATACATACATACAGATGTATGTACCACAGAATACCACACAAATTTACATGTTCCATATCTTTTGTCAAATGCATATAACATAGCCTGTTAAATATTTTTTAGTATAGTTTTTCATTATTTTTTCTTCCTGTGGGGTTTGGATTTGGCAGATTCTATTATTTTTTAAATCGGATATTCTGTGGATAAAAAATAAGGAATTTTATTTGTTGTTTATCCCGATTATTTTTAGGAATTTTATGAAAATATCTATTTTTTGTTTTTATATGACCATTGAGACTAAAAGTAATATATATTCACAAAAATAAAGTATATAGCATGTTTCCTTCAAATTTTATAAGAGAAATAAAAAAACTGGTATTCTGTGGTACTGTGATATTATGTGGTACATACACCTGACAGTGTATATAATTTGCTTTATTGTTAGTATCAATTCAAAACGATTTTTCATATTTTTAGCTTTCATTAGCTATAAATCTTCGTACTTTAATTGAAAATAAATCTAAAATTATAAGCTATAATGTCTTGATAATGAAAAGAAATCTCCATAGCTTAGCCAAGGCAATATACTCTTCTGAGAGTGTACTTCACTAAATCTGATCTGTGCTCTTCTAATTTTCCCAGGATAGTGAAGAAAGTCTGAATCAAGTATTCTGTATAAATGCACTAGTTCAGGAGGATCTCTTAGGATGGCAGAGATTACAAAAAACACAGGCTTGCTTAATGAAAGGTAAAACAAATCTCTTTCTATGCCAAATATTTAGCCTATACAGCAGTTTCTGTAGCAATTTGAATAAATACAAGTTTTGGTCAGGACAATCAGCTGGCTTATTGGATAATTAGAATCAAGGAAAGATATTCTAGTCATACTTAAGGTTTGGGAGAGTGACTTTGGTAGAATTTACTTTTGGCTGGTAATGGTAATGGTAATTGGTCCTGATTATCTGTATTTCATGTTTTGAATTAGGTGCAGAAACGTTAACTGGTGCAAGAGTAACTGTCTACAGGTATAATACTAATAAAGGGAATCAGAGACTGTATATACCTCCATCAGCAAATTAAGTCATACATGTATCATGCATAAATTATACCATGGGGCCCAAAAAAATATACCTGTAGTTCTGGTTTCATATCGTGAAAAAAATTAGGGTCGGTAGGTCGGAAATAAATTATTTTTATTGTTTTGGCGTTTTTTTGCTGGGCGAATTGCAGTAGAGTCCTGACATCAATGAATATTAACTAGAGATGCGTATTTCCTATGGACGAATTTAGGTAATTTGGTTCAATAATTAGTGTGACAACAGACGCCATTTTGGCATGCTGTATGAGCAGCCTGCAACCACCCGGAGAAAATAATAGGGTTGCACGGTCAATCGCGTTGAAAAAATAATAGGGTTGGCAGAAAAAATAGGGTCGGTCGGGAACCAGAACCACAGGTATTTTTTTTAGGCCTTGGCTAATTATGCATTCAATTTAGTCTTATCAAAATTGAAATTTGTCCTTGGGCGATGCCCAGTAAAGCTAATAAATAAACTAATTAACAATTATTGGATGAGGTTTTTGTGATATGCGGAATTATCAAGGTCGAGGTAAGCGTTATCAGCCGAGCCGAAGGCGAGGCTGATAACGCTTACCGAGACCTTGATAATTTTGCATATATTGCAAAAACCAAATTCAATAATTGTTGTATTATACATTTGAAGAATAATAAACATAGTATTTTAATAAAAATAAAAAAATCCCGAAAAAAAGTTTTTCATGCGTTAAAACGTATGAAAAACTTTATTTACGAAATCATAGCCACACCCAATAATACATCATTTATATTCAATAAGATTTCTGGCAAAGCTGTTCAAGTAAAACGTTTCTATAAACAAGTCTCTGGAAGCCCAACAGTTAAATTAATTACAAATACAAAAGAAACATATTATCATTAAGATGTTAATGTATTTACTTTGTTAATGTATTTACTTTATTTAATTAATGTATAATAATAAAAATTAATATGTGTGATATTTTTATGTTATTGTGCAAAACATGCAGACCGACAAACATACAAATGTGGACGAAAGAATAACCTCCTGGTGGAGTTAAAAATCACAGCAACGATTTACTTTCATGTTCTGTGGTTTAAATTAACTTAAATGTCCACATTTTGGTGTAAACCTTTTGGTGATTCTTTACAATCATTATTTCACAGTCAGGCGAGACTTTTTTATTTATTGGTTTACAGACTTGACTTTAAAAAAAACCAGGTTGATAGGTGGGGAAAACAATTTTAAAAAACACACTGAGTATATTTAAAATCGATGTTTTTATCTTCTAAACATTTAACTTCCGCTTGGAAAAAATGGCGAATCTCCACATTGATTGTCACAACAATAACATGAGCCTGCAGTAGTTAGAGTCAAAGTTTACTTGGCATGTACTTCATGCCAAAACCCCAAATTAACTAAAATTAACTAAAATCATAAAATTGTTGACATTGTTTCACTTTCTGAATATTTACGATCGGCGGATCCGTAAACCAATGAATAAAAAAAGTCTCGCCTCATAGGATAGTTTTATGCTTCATATTACATATTGGTTTTCCAGTAATGAATAGTTACTAAAATAAGTACTGAAATAATATTTTCTGTTTTGCCAGGTTAGAACTACGTCAGTGGTACACTGGCTGTATTACTGCTCATAATCTGACAACTAGGGTAAGTGGAGATTTTTGCATGCATGCAGTTCTTGTCTTTTTGTAGTCTGTGAGCTGAACTGTAGAATACCCAACCATTTTTCTTTGTTTGTTTAAAGACGCAATGAAACACAGGAATGATATCAAAACTGTTGAAACTAAACGTTTAAACATGAAATAGTTTAAACAAGAATGTGTTATTTTTAGTCATATTTGAAAAATAATTTTGAGGAACAAGGCAGAGTTATAAATGCAATTTTGAAGAAATTGTTAATGTTTACGAAAAATTAATAGACCTGTGTAAGAATAAGATGTCAAAATCAGTGCTTGAAATTTGCAGTACCGGGTAGCCTGGGACGGTTTTTCGGTATACCGAAAAATACCATGAGGTCTTTTGAAAAACCGGTTTATCGGTTTTGCCAAAGTCCAAGCACCGAAAAAAATGGAAAAGGACGAAGAACCGGGAAAAACGAGATACAAATGCTAATGTTTCAGCTAATCCTAGCTGAAAACTTGTAAATACGTTCTTTTAACATTGTCTTCTTGCTTGTATTTTTATACCTCTCTAAGCTTTTGATATTAAGCATCTAAAACTGAAATTCTTCACATAATAAATACACGTGCTACACCGTTTTATGTCTGTGTGTTGTTTATAGATTATTAACAACCGTTTTTTTCGGTTTTTACCTGACGATTTTCGGTTTCGGTTTTATTCAAGAACCGCCCCAGCCTTGTACCGGGTATCCTGATATCCAGGGGACACCACACTTTAAACTTGGAAACTGGATATGAGAAGCTCATTATCCATTGGGATAGTAAACAAATTTCTCTCCTACATAGAGTTTTCTCTTAAAGAAAGAAAACCAATTTTGAACTTTGCTTCAAAGTTTTGATATTGCCAATTACAGTATAGATATTATCCAAATGTGGGATAATAGATATTCTGGGTGTGATACCAGATTTCAAGTTGCTGGGATCTCATTGGATAGTTGTGGAAATTTCAAATTTCAAGCCCTGAAAATGGATGGATATTCATTTTTACATAGTGTATACTTTCAATCCCAGCATCATGATTTCATCTTCTTCCGTTATTTTTCTCAGGAACTTCATGTAATGGATGATAACGTCCTTCAAACACACCCAGTTGATCCAGCCTTGGTTCAGATCAATCTCATGGCGAATGGTATGTATTAAATAAAGTCACTTACAGTATGAACTGTCCTCATTGTGCAGCATGATAATAGATTTAGTTTTCAAGATGAGTTTATTGGCTGAATGTCGCGTCTCTTGGGTGACATTCTTGTGGCCCAGCCCACAGATAATATTTTAGGTTGAATGGTATCCTTGCAACATTGATCTTGAATTTTCCTTCAGCAAAGTTTTTGAAGTTGAACATATTGAAGTTGAATATTTTCGACAGATCTAAATTGGGAAATTCAAGCAGTAAACGTAATTGGGAAAAACGGCGTTTTACGCCGAATGTTTTACCGTAACTAACGCCTTGAAGTACAAGACTACTAACTACAATAAAAAGAATCAACATTTTGCCAGCCTGCATATTGGTGTTCAGTAAACCCACCTGTAAACATTGATCAAAACTTGTCCCCAGTCCTTCGTCTCGCTCGGCTATTACTGCAAATGATTTTTGGTTACCTGAAGATATATACATAGAGGCATATTTTACTTATTGATGTAACGTTTGATTTTCAGACGATGAACTGCTTCGAATATTACATGGTGAACAAAGCAAGATGCTTCCTACAAGAAGACAGAGAAACGCTCAGATATATTTCCAGGCCAATTGCCCAGAGCAAAAACCACAAGCAGGAGTCACTGTAAGAATGCTCTCATCCTATTTTTTGTATTCAGTAAATGGTGCCCCAGTAAATTATGTTTTCCGACATTTTGGCGAACACTGCAAGGTAATAAAAATGCTAGATGCGCGACCAGGATTCATAATAAAGTTTGTGAAACGTTCTGTGATCGTAAAATTTATTTCAACACGAGCTTTCGACTGCCAGCCTGCAGTCTTCGTATTACTTTACCTGTCGAAGACTGCAGCCTGGCAGTCGAAAGCTCGTGTTTAAATAAATTTTACGATCAGAGAACGTTTCACAAACTTTACTGCAAGGCAAGTAACGTAGTTGGCAAAATTCTTAATTCATAACAACGGTTTGTATTCGACCCAGGCGTTTAGCGAGGTGGCTGTTTGAATTTAGACGGCCGTGTACACTGCGACTTCTAGTGCGATTTTCGTCTTTTGATGGATGTGAACGAGCAGATGAGTTATGAATGTTCTGAGTATATGTACCTTCATTCTGCCCTCATCTGATCACTCCTTCACATGCATCAGGCCAAAAAAAAAATATGTGGGTTTCCGGTTTCTTCTTATAAAAACTTAGGTAGGGTAGGTCGGTTTTAACTTTTTTTTTTAAACTTTTTTTTTAATTTTCCGAACAAGCGGACGCCATTTTGTTTAGTCAGTGCTTCCACATCCAAAAATAAATTTCCCTAATATTGCCTCAAATTTCAATTTTCCACAAACTTTTTCCTCTAAGTGGAAACACTTACAACCATGATCCAATAAAAAAGTTTAGGGTCGGGATTTCGACGTCCAAAAGCTAGGTAGGGTCGGGAAACCGGAAACCCACATATTTTTTTTTTGGCCTCAGAAGAAGAAGATAATCGCAGCAAAAATTTGTCCGAATCTATTTGTTCAGCTCGTCATTCGCCCGCTTTCATACGTCCCATGTGCTTCGTGTGAAATCATCCAAATTCGAGTAAGGTTCTGAATTCATCCTGTTCTATGTGAACGGAGATTATCCATGCACAAATACATATACCATGATGTTTGTGGTGTTACTCTGAGTGTGCATCCACGCCGGACAAGCTGAAAAGTTTGCCCGACCACGGTGGGAATCGAATCCGCGACCTTTGGGATATTAGTCCAATGCTCTACCAACTGAGCTACGAGGTCAACTCGAACCGACTTGACCTCGTAGCTCAGTTGGTAGAGCATTGGACTAGTATCCAAAAGGTCACGGGTTTGATTCCCACCGTGGTCAGCCAAACTTTTCAGCTTGTCCGGCGTGGATGCACACTCAGAGTAACATCACCAGTCCTTTGAAACTCCCAAAATTTTAGATCGGCAAATATTTTCAAAACAAATAGGACAATAATTTAATTTGCTTGCTGCAAATATGCATTTTTATAAACAGCAATTAATTACCATCATTGCCAATAGCAAACAAAACAACTAACAAAATGTATGAACTCCAATCAAACAGTGCATGTTGTGACCAAATGTTGTGACAAACCATACACTACTTTCTTACCATAAACTTTCGCTTAAATCTTGACTCTCAACGATTTTAACACGTATATGTTTACTTTTCAAAAGATGCATTCGCGGAAAAAAATGCCGAGACGTATTTGAAAGTAGGTCGGCAAAATTTTGCCGACCTAAATCTACACATATCGCTTTGCAGGTCGGCATTTAGGTCGGCATTGCCGAATGTTTGAGTTTGAAGGACTGCATCACAAAGATCATATTCACCTGAGTACATAACACCAGCACACACAAAAAGTACATTTGCAGTACCATGTTTCTAAAATTTCTAGAATTGGCACGTGGTACGTGACTTGAACGCACCTAAACCTGGTTGGAGTCGGCCGTCAGTTGTTCGGACCGTCAGCCACGGCAAGCCTGCCTTCGTACCGAGTGTTGGTCAAGATCTGGATGGGAGCCAGGAAACATCGCCTCAGAGGTAAAATAACTACACGCGTGAAAATCATCATGTTGATGCAAGTTGTTCAAAACAGGAGCGAACAATGTTGTGCTGCACCCCGTATTGTTAACAAGTTGTTGAACCATCAACATTGTTGCAACTTGTTAACAATCATGTCAACAACTTGCAACAGTACTGATGGTTGAACAACTTGTTAACAATATTGTTCACGGGGTGCAGCACAACATTGTTCACTCCTGTTTGAACAACGCCGAACAACCTGATCAATTTTTACCCGTGTAATAGGGTATAAACTCGTCCAGCGGTTTCTTTTCAGCGTAGCATCGGTCATCGGACAATGTTCGGCCAAATTTTACCTTTTGTCCGATCAAAGTTTTTTTATGATCGGACATGTGACCGACCGATTTAGGCTCGTCAAATATCCAATCTCAAAAAATTGATCTTGAACACAATTTCATTAATGAAACCAAAGCAATATCAACGACACTCTTCCATTATTTCATGGCTGCATTAAGCCGTAAGATTTAATTACAAATATAAATCGTCTTCTTATAACATGGTAGAAATTAAAGTTATGCTTGCGATGTTACTCTGAGTGTATATCCACACCGGGCAGGCGTGAAAAATATGCCTGGCCACGGTGGGAATCACAAGCATCTTATTCACCTGAGTACATTACACCAACACAGCAAATATCATAATTAAAGTTATGTTATAACCTGAACCATAATTTACTGAAAATGCAGTAGGACTTGTAGATTTATACTCAGTTTTAGATGCACTGCAGTGCAGATCAACATGACCAGCCGAAATACATCATGCTAATATGAAAAAGACCATGAAAAATTGTCCATTGTCCGAGAAAAACTGATATATGTCCGACCACTTTTTGTCTTGATGAGACATCTGTCCTTCCAAGCAAAATAATTATTTGCAGGCCTGGCGTAGATAGATATCTTGAAATCTAGGTCGTTGTTTGTACAATGAACTGCCGTGATTTGTGTCTGAACTACTTAAAAAAGTTTATCAAGTAGTTCAGAAACAAACCACGACATCTTATTGTAGAATACTACCTACACTGGACCACCACGTTTGAGTTATCTTTTTCAGCTAGTTCAGACACAAACCATGGCAGTTCATTGTGGAATACTATCTACACTGCACCCCATGTTTGACATAACATCTCTGTGATCTCGATAGCTTGAAGATACAAGTGTGGACATTTGCAACCTCTTTTGGTGAAAGAGTTATTATTATCGCAATTTTCTTTGTAGTTTCCCCAAGCAGAATGACCCTGCATCTTCGAGCAGACAGAAGAATGATGGGAAAACCTCTGGTAGTCATTCTACAACCAAAGTTAAAGTGCATAAACCAATACCTGTTGTTCTGAAACTCCAAGACACCTTACCTTTCCCCCATTACGCACCCCAACCTGCTAGATCAAGCACTTCCCCTCTACTGTCATCATTAAACAGCACCCCCTCTCCACTTCGAGCACAGCTTACCCCTTCTCCCCTGAGTGGCCAACATACACCATCACCTCAGTCTTTGAGCAATCAAACCCCTCCTCAAAATTCTAGAAATGAGTCTCCATTTAATATAGCACTCTGTGATCAATCATCGGCTCGTGTTGCGGCCGAGAAAGAACTGGCGAGGACCAGAAATCATGAAAATTATCGAACCAATCACAATTCTCAAAGTACGCCTATGACGTCATCTCGAAAGTCGAGCGTTATTGAAACAGCTGATAAAGTCAATTCCAGGCTAGTTCCCAGTCCATCTATCTCATCGCATCCCATGCAGTTGTTCGCAACTAATACTGAGGGTGGGAACTGTCCGAACTTTACCCTCACTATAGAAACCACACGGAAGACGCCTCCTCAAATTACTACAGGGGTAATCCCGAGTGAAAGCCCAAGTGACGAAAATCCCGTGCGGAACTCCTCTCCTGAGTCGGAAGCCCCTTTAACAGCGTTGGCTGAAAGTAGCCGGAACTTTGTACCTGGGGTTAAAACCCAGCGGAAAAAGAAGAAACCCCGTACAAAGGCAGCCCCCATCGCGAAAGTGATCCACCCGACCGTGGTGATAGATGATGCCCCAAGCCAATCTACAGTTGAGACCACCACGCCGCAACGTTCAACGAACAACTTACAAAACACTGTTATCTCAACAGAACGAGGTCACTCAAGTCGTATGGAAAACGAGCGAGCAAGAAACTCGTGTCGTATGGAAAGCGGGGTCACGCAAAACGTGCACACGAATCCTATCATCACGCAAACTAAAAACATGCAAGCCAGAGGCACTCAATTTAGTAACACGCAAGAGCGTTCACTCTTTACGGAAATCCAGTGCGAATACCTGCGGGTGATGGAGGCATTGGTGAGATTTCAATACAGTATGATCATAGAAGCTTATGATACGATAAACCAAACTCGAACCGAGGAGCAACGCTTTTCCGTTACAGACACATTTTGTAAGTTCATCGAACAGAACCGACATACAGGAAACATATTTTGCGAAGCTAGTTTCGCCCGACAGGAGAGGCAACGTGTCGAGCATGAGCGACATATGTCACAAGGAACAGCGGCATCTCCCAATCGTGTTACCAGTTGTCTACCTGAGGAAATCGAGAGGAGACTGCGCTCAGCGGAAGAGGCTGTCGACAGGGGACGAAAAGAGGTTATCAGTGTTGTCCTGCCATTTGAAGAACGGCAACAAAAGAAAGGTCAATATATGGAGTGGGAAGTTTTAAAACAACAACTTCAAAAGCAGCAGAAAGCTTCACATAATGAAAAGATTCAAAAACATCACCATGTCGAGGAAAAAACACAGCCAGCTCGGCAAGGCCAAGCCGAAGCACAAAAACAAAATCATTTACAAGGCCAGCAACAACGTCAAGACAAGGCACAACATCACAGTTTACCGGGAGTTTTCCCATTGTATTCTGATTCATCTGGTCAAGTCGAATTATTGAAAGAAATTGAACAACAACTAAAGCAAGCTCGAGCACCAGAGGAACCACAACAAGCAAGCAGAACACAACCAAGCGTGATGCAATCACCACCTCAACAAGCAAATCCACTTTTACACGCAAGTAGATCGCAGCTATTAAGAACTCCAGAAAACTTTCAACAGTTGCAACAATTGTTACTGCAACGTACACAACTCTATGAACAACAACGCTACGAAGAAGTACAAAGGAAAAGGGTTAATGAGCTCCTTCAAGTGAAAGACGTGGAACAAAAGACTATTTTACTACAAAACATAGTAGATGCATTAGAGACTCAGAAAGCGTCGTCAAGAGATGTTTTGAAATCGCCACCTGCAATAAACAGCAACTTTGGCAATAGATCAACAGAAAGCCAGTTGACAAAAGTTCAGACAAAACAAAGTCAGTTAGCTGCCCCAAGTGAGGTAAGGATTGATTGATTGATTGATTTTGTTTGTGTGCACACAGTCTTATTATTAGCATGACAAAATTACTGGATGCTGATTGGTTTTAATTACTGGATGCTCATTAAGTGTTTTGTGTCAACCAACTTTTGCTTTCACAAAAGAACTAAATGAAAATACGAACAAAAGTACCAAATTTTGGTTGAAAGTCTGGCAGGACTGGGCTTTAGCGAGAGAATATGATCTTGACGGAGAAGTATCCAATTTTGTCATATGCTAGCTAATAATAAACAAGTAATCATGCATTCATGCGATGTTGCTCGTACAATTAGGGATTGATAGTACTCGTGATGTTTGGAAATTTGCCAAATTGGACTCGTCCAATTTTGGTAAAATTTCCAAACATCACTCGTACTATTAATCCCTAATTGTACTCGCCATCGCATGATTACCTGTACAAAATGCAAGAACCTTCCCACTTCCGCAACTCATTTTGTGTATTTCTGTAATTTGTTCTATTTTTCTGTAGCGATTACCGCTTTATCGGCAAATATCGTGGTAGGATCCGGTAAAATTTCGCTTTCCTTCCTTTATATACGTCAATTTGTAGCAATGAATGCACCTTTCGTTAGATTCTTTCCATAAAAGTTACGAAACTTAGATCTTATAGCGATATTTGCTGATAAATCGGTTTTAAACCGCCGCTCATAGTGTGTTCATACTATACAAATTTAAAATTACCGACTACAATCATTTGAAATTTCGCAACTTTTATTCAAAGAATCTAACGAAAAGTGTATCCTTTGCTACAAATTGACGTATATAAGGAGAAGAAAGGGAAATGCTACCGCGATATTTGCCGATAAAGCTACGTTTACACGCTGCGATTATTAATCGTGTACGATTCGTTTTCTTGGCGTATGTCATCGAGTAAACTCGTGTAAGCTGGCTACATTTGAAATTTATTTTTAACGAAACGGCAATGAATCATGGCGCCAGCACTCATTTTAACCAGCACTCATTTTAACCAGTCTGTTGAACTCAACAACCTTGTAGCAAGTTGTCAGCAAGCCGCTGACAACTTGTCAACAAGCCGGAAACAAGCAGTGCGAACACATCCTGTTGACAAGTTGGTTTTGAACAGCATTGCTACAAGTAGTCTGCCACTGCTTTGTTACAACTTGTGTGCTTTTACGTTGGAACGTCCTAACCCAAAAGATGAAATACACTTCTCTTTTTCTCCCAGGTGAATCCAGCGCAAGCTCAACAACATATACCCAAACCTCCATTCCTATCAGCAGATCAGCTGTTATCCAGCCTCACTACATCAGCCGCATGCAGAGTTACTGAAAATCTTGCAATTGCACCCGGCCTGATTTCTGAAAACCAACCCACAGCAGGAAACACACAGGTCTCCGGGAATTCGGAGAAATCCAATTTGGCGTTGGTTATGAAAAAGGTTAGTTTCGAATTTATGTTACGTACTTACGCTCGGTTGACATGAGGAGTAGGCGAAATGAGAGCGAAATGTCACACGAGACCAGCACCGCGGACAAATATCAAGGGTATGCGCGAGTCTACGGAAATAGCGGAGAAAAATTAAATACGGGAAAAAGCGGTTACCACTGTACACGTATAAGGAAACGGCCAAAGGTCTAAGCTCCGGAATTTCTTCGTATCTTTGTGACAAGAAGAAGTTATACTCTTTACACTCTTGTAATTTTCCTTACACCTTCTGCTTGAGCTTTGTGAAGACAATATTTGTAGTGGATTCAATGATTCAATCTTAGGATTCAATGATTCAGTCTAGGATTCAATGATTCAATCTTAGGATTCAATGATTCAATCTTAGGGTTCAATGATTCACTCTATGATTCAATCTAGGATTCAATGATTCACTCTATGATTCAATGATTCAATCTAGGATTCAATCTTAGGATTCAATGATTCAATCTTAAGATTCACTCTAGGATTCAATGATTCAATCTTAGGATTCAATGATTCAATCTTAGGATTCAATGATTCAATCTTAGGATTCACTCTAGGATCCAATGATTCAATCTTAGGATTCAATGATTCAATCTTAGGATTCAATGATTCAATCTTAGGATTCACTCTAGGATCCAATGATTCAATCTTAGGATTCAATGATTCAATCTTAGGATTCAATGATTCAATCTTAGGATTCAATGATTCAATCTTAGGATTCAATGATTCAATCTTAGGATTCAATGATTCAATCTTAGGATTCAATGATTCAATCTTAAGATTCACTCTAGGATCCAATGATTCAATCTTAGGATTCAATGATTCAATCCTAGGATTTAATGATTCAATCTTAGGATTCAATGATTCAATCTTAGGATTCAATGATTCAATCTTAGGATTCACTCTAGGATCCAATGATTCAATCTTAGGATTCAATGATTCAATCTTAGGATTCAATGATTCAATCTTAGGATTCACTCTAGGATCCAATGATTCAATCTTAGGATTCAATGATTCAATCTTAGGATTCAATCTTAGGATTCACTCTAGGATCCAATGATTCAATGTTAGGATTCAATGATTCAATCTTAGGATTCAATCTTAGGATTCAATGATTCAATCTTAGGATTCAATGATTCAATCATAGGATTCAATGCTTCACTCTATGATTCAATGATTCAATCTAGGATTCAATGATTCAATCTTAGGACTTTCGAGTACAAAGACGTTTGACCGCATGTTCACAAGACCTGGTCAGGAGTCATTTTAGTTTCTTTCCCCTATGTTGAAAATGCGTCCACAGTCTTGTCAGAAGCTTTGTATTGAAATGTTTTCGTGTCCATTCATCTTGTTTCAAATATAGCCTGACTTTGAGGTATTCGTTCTATAGCTAGCGAGATGCCAGACTCGTGTAAACAGCATTAGGGTGGGATAATTTGCGTACTTACGTACCGGAGGTGGTACGCCAATATTACGGTCTGGTACTTCTTTGTTTTCAATCAAGTACCATGTAGGCACGCGGAACTCTTGCTATTCGCGTGCTTACAATTTGCTCTACAATATGACCAGCAAAAATTCTGAAACCGTAATTAGGTGATGTGCACTTGTATAACGTCTGACATGTCTTGGCATGAAACATGCATAGTTAGACTGATTGGACTAAGGTCTAAGGTATGTTGAACAGTTGAAGTCATTTGCAAATGTATAATTTTTGTTCGTACAATAAAGCTCCTTGTTCTAACTCGTAGTTTAATTCAAGTCGCTCAATGAATACATTGAAGAAACTTGTACTTTGTCTACTTCTTTTTATACACCAAGTACACTGTACACATTGAGTCTTGAGTTTGCACAGGCCAAGTTTGAACCAACTTAAGGGTACGTCGCAATAACCATTGAAGTACCAGTCAGGTACGACTATAATAATCTTCAATTTTCGCACCCTAAGCAAGACATGCAAGACCATGATGGTTACGAAATCGTTCCATTATGTTCAATGAAATGTGCAGTTTGTATGGGTTTTTGAGTTCGTGGACTGTTTGTGGTACGTGTTTTTCTCCACTAATGGCTCAGTTTCACAACTTGAGGCTGAACGACTGAAAGTGGCGTTTACCATGCATCATTATTTCAGGTAACAGAATCCAAAGTAAGATGTTTTTCCAAGTTAATGAAATTTGGTCGCAGGCACAAAAAACTATTGAGCCCTGCCTGGCCTTCACCTTTAGGAAGAGCAGATTAAACAGAACAGCCTGAACACCATAAAGTGATCATGTTTTTCTTCTAGGAAAATCCTGGAATATATCTATTAAGTGGAAGCACACCGATAATACCTGACATCACTTCCTGTGTGGATATGTTGGGTGAAGCTGGGTCTAAGAAAGATAAACTGGGATCGGCTAAAGCATCTAAGAACAAAAGTAGTGATAAAAAACGAAAAACATCATCTCTCCTCACTCCTGGCGACTCAGAAACACTTCCGAAGCCTAAACGACAACGCAAAAGCACAAAGAAGAAGAATGTGTCCGACATTGCAAGTCAGGACATTGCATCTTCAGGCCCCCTTCCTGGTTGTGTCTCAATTAAACAAGAAAGATTACCGGTTAAGAGCGTTCCGCCAGGGAAGGTATTGCCCGTGGCCATGACAAGCGGTGATCGTAATGTGACCCCTGTTAAAGCAAACGATGATCAGTTCAGTCACGCGCAGTATCAGCCCAGGTCAATTACAAAAGGTATCGGATTTATTCCAATTAATACCGTTCATGAGGTAGGCAGTACGGTTACAAATGCCAGTGTGACGTCGAAAGCTAGCGACTCGTTGGATGTCTTGGCTTCTGTCAGTGCATCGCGTTCTGTTCAAGAGACACAAGACGTTAGGAGACCAGCTGTTACAAGCGTCATACAGTCCTGTATTGGCAAGAACCGATTGCCTCACGATGGTAGTCGACAGTTTGCTGATGAAAACCGACGAAGTTCCGATAGCAACCCACAACTTGGTAAGACGAACCGACAACTTTTCGACGATTTTCCGACTTCTACCAACGGTAATCGACAACTCACCGATGAAAAGCAACAGCATACAAGCGATCCTAGCAAGTCTACGAACGCTGCACGACTAGGTTCCGAAAGCGTTCCGATATTTGCCGATACAACCCAAGTTACAGAGGTTGGAGTATGTCATACGACTACAGACGGAAGTCAAATGTTTTCCGATGGAAAACAGTCACATAACGAATGCAACCAACCAGCCACTGAGCGGTCTGTAGAAAGAAATATTGGTGAAGAAGATGTCCAGTGTGGGGTTAAAGATAGAACCGACCCTATTTCCGACCAACTGGTCAAAATTCAAATTGCTCCTAACCCTAGTCATTTGGTCAAGGATAAATCTGTCGACATTAGTTCTGTAGGTTTGAACGGTTCTGTCAATAAAACGAAAAAGCCAAGGAAAGAAAGACAGAAAAAGGAGAGAAAAAAGAAAATCCAAGGACCTGGTTCTGCAGTTGAAACTACATTCAAAACAAAAGACGTTGGTTCAAATATTCTACAGGAAATGTCTCGTCTTTATCTTTTCAAAGGTGAGCAAAATATTGGCGAGAACAAGTCTAATGAAGTTTTGTGTGAACCAGTTCGACAGCTCAGTTCCACTCGCGATGATGAAAACAAAGCAAAGCTGACCTCTCAGAACGTCAATGCTTTGTCTCTTGATCATGGTGGTCAAAATGACGGCAATGCAGCTACTATTAAGAGTGCTGACATTAAGATGAAAGAAACGGACGAAGCTCCCGAACTTTCAACTTTAAAAAATGTTGTGTTTGGTAGCTTAAAGAATTCGGATATTCCTAAAAAGAGCGCAGAAATGGAGGCGCAAGACAGCTCTAAGCCAGTGGATCCTACATTTGCAGTGATATCACAAAATATTCAAGCACTAAATCTTGATTACAGTGAAACGTCACTTTACAACAAGTCGACTGACGAGACGCCAAAAGTGAAACAGAAGAAGAAGGAGATAAGTAGCGGGAAAAAGTCGGGAAAGAAAGAGAGTAAAAGTAAGCCTGATGGAAGTAAGACTAAGAAGACGTCTGAAAAGAAACCGAAGACACCTCGAGGCAATAAACAGGAAAAGGAAAGCGTTGCGAAATCTGGCAAAAAGTCGAGTAAAGTTAAACATGATAAAGTATTAACCAAACTCAAAGAAATTGATAATAAGCAACCTGATTTCGGTAATATTTCTGCAAATGTTGATACCGTTCAATTATCATTGGGCAGTGAAGAAACAACTACGCTGAAGCTTTCTGTAAATGAGAACAATGCAACTAAATTGCCTGCTACGACGTCTAGTGATGGTGAATGTAGTGATAACAAAGTAATAGTAAATAGCTTGGAACAGCTTTCTGTGAGTGCTAAAGAATCTAAAAAATCTGACGAAAAAGCCGCGGACAATAAGTCAACGCAACCAGTGGACGACACTGAAGACGTTTGTAGTATTTTATTTAAGTCACAGAACAGCGAACTGGAATCGCTCAGAAACAACAAAGATGATAATACTACTGTTGAAAATACCTTGGAAATAGCAGGGAAAGTTAATGTTGCCGAAGCTCCAAAGAAGCAAAAGAAGAAGAAGACTGATCTGTCTAAACCACAAACCAAAAAATCAGCTAGTGAAAAAGCCAAGAAAAAACCAGCCAAAGATGAGAAAATTACAAAGAATAATAAAAAAGCTAGCAAGAAATCAGAAAAGAATAACATCAAATCTTTGGAAAATAATAGTATAACTGTAAAGTCAGAAAACGAGAAAGGGACAGCTTGTGTTGCTAAAGATTCAGTTATGGCAGTTGATGAATTTGTGAGCTCTGCAGCTGATGAAAGTGAGCAGAAACGTTTAGTACAAGAGCAAGGAAAAGAGCAGGCAGAAGAGGAAACTAACTCGGTTACCCCAGAGCTCGCATCAACGGATGCCGTCGTGAAAGCGAATGGGATCGAGAAACGGCGAGAGAGCGAAGATATTGTGTTTGTTAACGATAAATCTGTTGGGAACTTTGTTAACGCTCGGGAGGAAGAGGAAAGCGTGTTTTCAGAAAGTTTGTTGTCCAGAAAGAGAAAGCGTTGTACAAGTCTGGAGAGAAATGATTCTGTTGTCTCTGAGAGCAGTGGTAAGATTTCTTTGAATTTTTACATTACAGTATTGCTGCTTTACCCGGGGAACACGATAAGTAGAGATGATTGATTCTCCTTCATTACTACAGCGTCAGAATAAATACGCATCTAGTTTTTCATGTCTCTGGGGATGGTTATGAAATATAATTAACACGTGGTTCTAAAATTTTCATTCAGATGTTGAGTCCTGTGTTCCTGTTGTATGCAACGAAACAGCTGCGACTGAGAGCAATCAAGCATCTTCCAGAAAGTCCTCGGAAAATGGCGAGAAAAAAGAATCGAAAATTCGCAAAAAGAAAGTCAAGAAAGAAAATGAGACAAAAAATGAAAGTGCTATCACCTTGGAAACGGACACGTCAGCATTGGATGGCTCCATGAAACAAGATGAGAAAAAGGAATCTGGGGCTGAAGCGAAGAAGAAGGTTAAGAAACCGAAAGAAAGTAAGTGGTTGCAAAGTTATCTCGGAGATAAACTTCATTGTACAAATGTTATGTATTGGTGGGTTTTACCATGGATAATAAAATACATGGATAGGAAACTAGCTGACGTGACCTAATGTTTTCAATGGGATGATGGCGTTGCAACCTAGTTGCAAACCAAATTCTCAAAAACGGCATGTTTAGCGATAATACAGCTAAACATTTTAGTCAAAGAGCAAATAAACATGACTAAGCCATTCTACGATGAAATCTCTAAGTATTCCCGGTCAATTTTAGCAAATATTTCAAGCACTAAACACTGAAAAATGCATCGCAAATTTCGTAAAAATTGGCGACGCCAATTTCGTAGCTACAAATGTTAAAAAATACAAAACAAAGACGAAAAACACTTACCTTGAATACTTTGTCGTGGCTTAGGCATGTTTTTAAAACAATTAGACCAATTTATGCTTCAATATTACTCTTTTGAAGCGGAAAATATAGCGAAACAACAAAAATGCTGAAAGTTTTCGCAATACACATGACGTCACAGATTGCAACTAGGTTTAGACTGTGACGTCAGGAAGTTTCCTATCCAGTTATTTTACAATCCATGGTTTTACCAAGGTCTAGATAAGATGTATAAAATTTGCATTCTAAATTTCTTCAAAATTCTTGAACATTTGTTCAAAAGTCTTCAACAATCGAGTGAGTTGCCCACCTTAGTATATATACATGAACTAGCGATTAGAGCTTGACAACTGGACTCTGTTAGCTCAGTCAGGGCCGCCGAGAAAGTTCGCGGGGCCCGGGGAAAATCTTCTCTGGGGGCCCCATGACATCATTATTTTTAAGCCAGACCCAAGTCAGTCACCCAAATAGACCTTAGCTAGACTGCATGTGGAGGTACTGTAAGGGGACCTCAATTTCAAAAATGCTCTGACCAATTTAAAGAACCTACTCAATTTTAGGCTCTCTCTCTCTCTCAAGTTGGTGCCCTATTAAGGTGGAGGCCCGGGGAAAATTGCCCCCCCTCTCGGCGGCCCTGAGCTCAGTTGGTTAAAGCGCTGCACCAGAATCGCAGGGCCGCAGGTTCAGTTCCTGCAGGGCCTATAGTTGCATTTTTCGCTTCTCGTTAGGTTCACACTCGAAATGTCCATCTACAAAATCCTTTAACATTATAGTTCAACCGCGAGTGTGAGATACCCAAAAATCATGTGTTTTACCATGGATAATAAAATAAATGGATAGGAAACTAGCTGACGTGACCTAATTTTTTCAATGGGCTGATGGCGTGGTTGGATGTTGGAAACCTAGTTGCAAACCAAATTCTCAAAAACGGCATGTTTAGCAATAATACAGCTAAACATTTTAGTCAAAGAGCAAATGAATATAACCACGCCATTCTACGATGAAATCTCTAAGTATTCCCAGTCAATTTTAGCAAATATTTCAAGTACTAAACAGTGAAAAAGGCATCCCAAATTTCGTTAAAATTGGGGACGCCAATTTCGTAGCTACAAATGTAAAAAAATACAAAACAAAGACGAAAAACATTTACCTTGAATACTTTGTCGTGGCTTAGGCATGTTTTTAAAACAATTAGACCTGTATATGCTTCAATATTACTCTTTTAAAGCGGAAAGTATAAGCGAAACAACAAAAATGCTGAGAACTTTGCAATACGCGTGACGTCACAGATTGCAACTAGGTTCTTTTTGCTTACGTCAGCTAGAGTCCTGTCCATTTATTTTATTATCCATGATTTGACCAAGCAATGCCGTGCAGTAGATGGTGGTCAACGTGAGGACATAATGTCAACAATGTCAATCTTTTTTATAGAAAAAGTTCGAGAGAAAATTCAGAAAGAAGAATGGGTTTACTTTCTTCAGGTAACTGCAACAGTGTATAAGCCAATTCGAAGTTTCCACTGAGCATCCAAATGAAGCGTCGGGCTAAATTGTAGTTGAATCATGACATGTAGCTAAGACTGAAATAATTATATCAAAGTATTCAACTGTTCCAACTGTTCAATCCAGGGGTGGAAAAAGTAACGGGCCACGAGACCATTGGTCCCAAAACATTTTTGAGTTCCCAAAAAATATTTCCCCAAGAGAATATTTCCCCATTTTGAGTATACAAAAAGTTGCTCAAAGAACAATGGTTTCCGTAAGGTTGATCTCTTTAAGTTAGAAAATATATTCCACTGTTTATGTTGTTTTATACAGAAGACAAAATATGCTCGTACAAAAAAATATTTAATTGACAGTTCTATTGTAGCTACAGTATAAGTGAAACAAATAATGATCGAACATTTGAATACTTTCATAATGCATATTCTAATTATTCCAGTCTTAACTACGTGTACTGTTCAACTGCGATGGCGCATAACGTGTCATTTGGATGTGGAAACTCGAATTGTCTTCTTTAAAACAAAAACACATTTACACCTTCACGTTGAAGATAATTCATATTTTGTTTTTCTTCCAGCGCGGTGGTTGTAAAGCTCTGCCGTCCATGCCTCAGTGTCGAGAATGTCGTAATTACGAAACTGAAGAGGAAGCGGTCTTGAACAAGAGTTGTTGTCGTTTTCATATGTTCAGAAGGTAAGCGATTACACACCAATACAAGATAGTGAGATAAAAACGAAACTAACTCTATTTATACTGGATCGCTATATCAACTTTGTCTAAACTGTTCTCCCTAGAAGTTCGGTAAGGGTCATTCCTAGTAAAATTGAAGCCAAGAATATTCCAGCGGTTACCTCCATTTGAATAGATGGCGGCCATGTTGGTCGTTCCCACTCGCTAATAAACGCTTAAAAACAACAATAACTTTTATCATTTGAATAGTTTAAAAACATATTTGGAATGGGGTTAAGAGATAGAAAACATACGAATCTTCTCATTTCATGGGAATATCCTGAGTCTGCAATCACGGCTTCAATTTTTGAATTGCAGAATAATTAGATGCACTATCTAGTGTATATAAGATATCTATGGGTCATTCTTAATCATATCCAGATGACTGCCTTTTGCAGGAATCGAACCACGGTCGCAAAGATGAAAGAGACATGTTATTTTTATTTTTTATTTTTGACAAGTATGTCAGTGTACACTAAAATAATGAAGCTTTTGGGTATTTTTATTTCTAAACGAATGTTTTCACAAGTCGAAACATTTTAAAGTTCCGTTTTATTCGCCCACATTGCGTTTTTGAAAGATAATATTTTCTGTTAATTGTCAATATATTTGTTTTCAGATGTCGATCAAAATCAAACAGGCTAGAAATGGCTGGTTTCTCGTCTTCTGAACATGCTCAAGGTGACGATCTCTTGCCGTGGATTGCAGGGGAAGAAAGTAAGTATCTCAAACTCATTAATAAATCCCTGACAGTAAATTAGCCAACCATATTGCCTTATTTTACTCACATGATAATACTGGATACCTGATGAAGTATATTGATCCTGTCCTAGGACTGGATCGAAATTAATTCAGTCCTTGCACTGGATCCAAATTAATTAAGTAGTGATTTATTCGTATGAGATGTCATTTCAAATCCGACTATGAGGACTGGACTAGATTTCAAGTCCTCGTATTTTGATCCAGTCCTTGGCTTCGCCTCGGGCGTGATCAAATTGGGCGGACTTGACATTTAGTCCAGTCCTCATAGTCGGATTTGAAATATTACGTCAACATACTAGGTAGTCAACATACTAGGCACTATGCACGCCAAGTTCAGTAAGTTTTCCCGTTGTCATTTCTGTATTTCGTAAGTTTCCTTGCAGTGCCGTAGCCAGAATGATGATATTGAGCTTAAGCAAATGACGTTTTTGGCAACACGAACGGCATGAGTAACGTCAGAAGACTGGGTCAAGGGCTGTGATTGGTGAAAAACGTCAACTTTACTTCCGGTCGACGTCCGTGTTGTCAAAAACGTCACTTGCTTAAGCTCACTAATTGGGG